TGATTTGACTTGATCAAATCACGCGCGTTTCATGCACAAGAATATAAATGTTATTTATGCAATAATCCGAGACATTATTCGAGTCCAAAAACTACTTAGAAACTATGTACATATCGAGTCCAAAAACTACTTAGAAACTATGTACATATGTGATCATGAGTAGTGCACATAACCCATGCTTGACAAAGTATTACTCATAACCCATGCTTGACAAAGTATAACTTTAACAAGATTGCTTAAATGAGTGCATATTAAAATAAATTAAAACTAATGTATGACTAAGAGTCCGTTTGGTAGGGTGTAAAACATTTTCAATGTAAAATGGTTTTCCATGAAAATCATTTTATAATGGAAAACTCATTTTCATAAAAGTTTTCCGTTGTTTGGTTGAATGGAAAATGATTTTCCATTTTAAGCATTTTTCATTGTTTGGTTGAACTGAAAATTTAATTGTGAGGGAAAATATTTTCCCTCCACTTGTGATGGAAAATGTTTTCCCTCCACTTGTGATGGAAAATGTTTTCCTTCTAAATTGGGGGAAAAATGTTTTCAATAGGGTGGAAAATGATTTTCCATTATAAAATGATTTTCCACCCCAAGTTTTACATTTTAATGTTTTACATCAAACCAAACAATGTAAAATGGAAAAACACTTTTCAGTAAAAATGTTTTACGCCCTACCAAACGGAGCCTAAGTGAAATACGTGAATAATCCCAAAATTCAAAGTGTAATCATTATATTTCCAAACGGAAAGTGTAGTTGATTAGGAATTATGGCCCTTGCACTATATATTTATACATAATATCTTTCTCCCTACTTCTGCTTATGTACTTTGTACCTCTTAATTAGCCTACATGCATGATCACTATTTTTTTGATTTGGTACATAGTTAATTAGATGACTCGATTTCCACTACTTGTTAGTTTATAAAAACAGGTGCAAACTTAACTAGGGTTTCTTTTGGTTATATGCTCTTTCACAGAAACATGCATTCGTGTAATATTGTAATATGGTGGTTTATTTTAATGGTGTATGTGCTTCCAAATCCAATGACATAATCATTCCACAGATATTTGCTTGTTTTATTTGGTTACATTGCAAAGTAATTGCAATTTTCAACCATTATGTTCAATGTTGTAAGAGAAACACTTCATCTATATTCCTCTCTTGGAATTCATTGCTGGTTTCCATCTTACAATTTGGCCAAATTGATTATTATAAAGTACATGAAATATAAGTAGTTGATTGATATCTTTATCTTACATTATTGTACTCATAGTAGTATTATTCTCATATATAACCAATATTATACTTATCAGATGTTGTTTAGAATTAATATTGTGTTCTCTTTACCTTATTCTTATTTATCATATATTCATGTTAAAATTAGAACAAATCATATCAAAAAATTCAGACTAGCTCAAAAAAATTAGGATCAGATTAGACAAAATTATGAAGATAACTATTCAAACCAGGCCATATCAAAGTTTTAAAAATTCAAATTATAATATCTTAAATAAGGTGAATAGGACAAAACCTAAGTGTTACATTATATTATGTCTAGATTACACTCCACCCCTTATATATAAAAATTTAATATCATCATGTAATACTTCTAATTACTCCGTATACATCCTCATTAATTAATTCTTTTTCTTAAAAAAAATTATTATTATTTTTTTTTAAAAAATAAAATAAAATTTCCCTATTAATAACATATCATAGATTGCAATCAATGAATTTACTTTAAATCCAATTTATTAAATTCTCAAAATATATAATTGTCCAAACAGACACTATACTATAGGTCGAATGAAACTGATAAACGGGCCTAGGACACACCCGTCACGAGTGTCCACTTTATACGACCAAGGAGGTTTCATCTCAAAACCATATGACAATGAGGGGAGTAGCCCCTTAGCCTATAAAGTGGACACGACTTTTGCTTTTCTTCAATGTGGGATACATATCCCAATATTCCTCTTCACTTTTATACTCTTTCAATTTGGGACAATACTTTCACTCAAATGTGGGTTTTCTCATGAGCTCAACAGAAACACTATATGATATATTAGTATAGGTACATTTTCACAAACTAATTAGTGTTTTTAATGCTTGATTAAAAAAACATTTCTACCATTAGCTTCTTAAAAAGGACTACACACAACATATAGCTCTTTAGGGCTTGAGGCTACATCCTTTATAAAAAAAGATCAAAATTAAATAAATTAGAAACATTCATTGAGCTAGCCATAATTTGGTATCCAATGATTGTGAAATCTCTTTGATTGAGAAATCTCAAATGGATTTTCAAATTCAAGCAATAATATATACGTCATATATGGTGCTAGCTAGGTGTCAAAAGAGAAGTGGATAATTCTTAGGAAAATCTGACTCATAAAATTCATTAAATAAAAAAAGAAAGTTAAAATAGTGATTATTATTGTTGTTGTTTATGCTCCATATAAATTCAATGAAATGCTCAAATAGATGGAGTTCTATTGAAGATGGTAGATGATGTCATTCTCGTGGGGCTTATGTCGTTTTAATAGCTATTAATCTAGACAATTATTTAAATTATTGATTTTGACTTTTGAAAAACAATTTTGTGTTGTTTACATCAGATTTTTATTTCTTGAACATTATCCATTATTATTGTGTATTAGTTCTTTTCAATGCTATTATGACATGGGAACATCAAATTATAGTATGTAAGTGTTGTATTGTTATAGTGTTACACTGAACCCAAGATCAAACTAAGAAATATTTAAGGATTGAAAATCACCACAAACAAACACATACATCAAGATATATATGAAGTATTATCCTTTAATTTTTGGATACTATAGACCTGTTAATGAGAAGTCCAAGATAGGTTTATATACTCTATCAAAACCCGCTAAAATGACCATTTTAATTGTCTTTATACACATGTACCCAAGCTCACATGCATGCACTTCCTTACTAATTATTAACTACTAATTAATTTATAACTGGAAGTGAGGGATAGCTCAAGTGGTTAAATCTTCCCTCTCGGTTCTAGGTGATCTTGGGAATGATTCTCATCACTCGCCCTTTGTGGCTCTCTAAATACCAAAAAAAATAACTCAACTCATAAACACCCTTAATTAGCAAGAGGTTTTGGAATAATCGATCAAATGTTTTGATAAGCATTATTTGGGTTTTAATAATTTTGCTTTTAGCTACTAAATCACTATTCGTTTATTTTAAAATGTCTTTAGTAGTGACACACTTTAAATTCTAGCTCTATGTTCAATCTTTTTATTAGGGTATATGTAAATAATGACTATGTCATTATTAATTAGGTTTTGTATCCCTATATATTTATACATATACACTATGTTTGGATTGAAGGAAATGGAGGGAAAGCAAGGGAAGGGAAATTGAGGGATGAATTATCTTTCATGTGGACGAAGAGAATTGGAGGGGGAGAGAAATGGAGGGAATAAATTGAAGAAATTGATCTCTCCAATGTAACAATGGAGAGATTTGAAAGGAAAATTCATCATTTTTCCCTCCCCTCCCCTTTTCTCTATCCAAACACACTAATAGTGCCAGAGCTTCTTAGATAAGTGTATTCACCCAAACACTCATACACTCTACTAATATAAAACCTCTATTTTTTTTCTATACATATAAAATGTCATTAATTGATAAACAAGAGATACACTCATACACTTAAAATTCCCTACATCGTTCAATCTCTCTTTTTGCTCCCAATACTTTGATTGATTAGCTTGGTACCGACAGCTAGATTAAACTGTCGGTAATTGTATACCTTTGGTACTATATATATATAACATAGAAGTAATTCATTATCAATAAGAGGCATGTAAAGCATTAAAAGCATGCCCCAAAAAAGATTAAAAAACCCTACACAAACAACAAGTACTGGTCAAATTTCTTTTAAAAAGTATGACAAACGAAACACAACTCCAAAGAAAATCCATAACATACACCAAAGATTGGACATCAAAAGACCAAACCCTCATGACATGCTAGAAAAACACCATTTCATATTCATATCACCTCAAAACTTTTATCAAGGACATGCATAGCTTTGGTTTAATGAAGGACAAGCATATATAGCTCGATCTTGAGTATACATGACTATATAAGTATATATATATATAGCTCATTTATTTGCATTGTGACGTTCTTCTTTATATTATCGACTTTCCTAAATTTTTTCGGAACTCATATAGTTAACTCTAAAGTCAATAAGTGTCTTCTGAACGTTGGTATGAAAAATCAAATTTCACTAGAAAATCGATACAATAATTGAAGTTAATTAGACAAATACTTAATACTTGTATCATATTATTGAAGAATATCTAATTTAACTTAAATATGATGTTACGCATGTGTGTAATTCTAATACATTATAATGATTCCCCTAAATTAAACAACAAATTGATTTGTTTTTCATGCAATTATTCTCATCAATTAAATAATTGTTGATGGAAGCTAGGTTTTGGGAATTAAAGGTAGAACAATTGAACAAAGTATTAGATTCCTACCAACATATATTGATTCTGTTTGACTCTCAAGACAAACTTCACATGATTTCTTGCTGTTTAAAGGCACAATAAATTTAATCCCAAATAGATAGTGGAGTCATACCAAGACACCACCACCTAGCTAATCTAGCAACTAACATCAATCCCATGCATGTACATATATTTCATTTCAATTTTCATAAAAAGAGATTTACAAATATCTTTTATTCTTTGTATAATCCAGAATATATTCTATAATATATACTTTATTTTTAAAAAAATTGGTTCCAATGATGAGCCACGAGAGCATTGCAGATCGATTATAATTGTAAAAGAGGGGATCGTACATAGGCACCTCCTCTTTGCCAACAGGTTAAGACTCGTTGCTACTAAAACATATATATAGTTGATATTATTGAACAAACCAAAAACTGATAATATAATTAATATCCATATAAAGTGCAAATAATCAATTTATAACCAAGTAATATAAACACATGTAATTATTTTATTAATTATTCAAAAAGCTCTTCATTTTCAATCCATTTAGTAAATTCTAAATCAATGAAAGTACATTATTATTACATGTAAATTATTTGATACCATAATCTTAAATTAAAGTGAGATACCCCCCCAAAAAAAAAGAGCAAAAAAGAGTGAAATTATGTTAATTGTGCAACAACACACCAAGAAGCTAGGGGGTGGTGGGTTAGAAAGAAAAGTGAGATCAAATTACAAAAAAGCCCCTTTTCTTTTCCATGCATACCTAATAATAATATACTTGCCTTTTCCCTCCCATCTTATAGTACAAAGTTTGTTTTTTTTTTTTTTTTTTTTTTTTGTTTTTTTTTTTTTTTTGTTTTCCTAAGCTACTTGTCCTCCGATCCCTTCATGGGTGCTTCCATGGCTAACATCGGAGGTTGTGGCATCGGCGAGCTAACCACTACGTTAGGAACACGACTAGCTTCGACATTTCTTTGTGATTCAACATCATCTAACTCATGGTCTTCAACGATGGTTCCCATTTCGTTGCTATGAAAATTGTTGCACCCCTTGATTGCTTCGGGAATTTCTTCGATTTCTTGCTCTTTGTACTCCTTGTACTTCCCCCATAGTACTGAATATAATCCCATCACTATCAATACAGCTCCCATAATACTGCATATCATAAAATTTAATTTTGAAAGTTAAAGTTAGTTAGTGATAAATAAGTGCATATATATTGTTACAAAAGAAATTTATATGTACAATAAATTATACAAATGGATTGATGAATATCACAAAATTTTAAAGGTACTTTCGGTTAAAGTTTATATAGACTACTTTAGGGTAGGTGGTGTCATGCCAAAATTAAGCATATTTCCTATTTTGTATTATCATAATATTTAATATTTTACGTATGATTTTATATCTTATACCATAAAATTGACAATAATACATGAAAACGATATTATTGAAAAAGCGGAACCTCAAAGTTGAATAATTACGTACAATTTGAAATGTCGTGAAATTGTTTTTGATAAAGACATGAAAAGCTAGCTATTTTGATTTGAAGTATTATATGATTCTAGTTATGTGAACTAGGTTATGTGCATGCAATAGTTGTGTAGGAAAATTGCTTACTCACAAATTCTTTAGTACGGAGAATAATTTTTGTATGTATATATGTACGCAGCAGCATACCCAATTACATTCTAACCATTCAAATAATTTCAAGTGCATTATTATTTTTGTCATTTTTTCCAAATTAAATGTTACGTTATAATTAAGAGGACTGTGCCATCAAGCATTGTATTGGGAATCACCCGTGTATTATACGACACAATTTTTTAATTTTTCTGTTGAGCAAATAAAGGTATGCTTTTAGTTTGAGGGAAGGATAGAAAAGTACCCTCCAACGTAAATCTTTTCAGCAAGGATGAAAGAACCCATGAAAGCCACAATGATCATCATCAAGGGGCTAAAAGCCGTAACAAAAACGGGTCCTCTTTTCTCCATAACAATACCTTGTACATAGTACGCAATTCCGGATGTTATAATACCCTGTTACAAAAAAAGATTGAGCGAGGGAACAAATTAGTTAATCATATACATACGGAGTATATATTACTATTCATTATAATTATTAAAAACATATAAAATCGAAAATAATAAAAGGATAAAGTATTTACAGCATAGGCAGCAGCAAGAAGATTCATGTCCCAACCAATATTCCATGCAGAGGGTTTGTGCTCCATAACAAAAGTCACAACAATAGATTGCAAGGTACCCATAAAGCATACTAGTGTTGTCAATGTTAGATGTGCTGAATATCTCCTCATTGTTATTGCCTACAATCAAACAAAATCCAAAAATTAGGGAACTAAAGTTTGTTAGAATATTAAATTTGATAAAATTAATAAAGGTCCAATGATTGGTTTAAATAATTTAATCAATGAACTTATAAAACTTTGCCCAATTTCCCACTATGATTATTATATTATGTACCCCAATCCGTAGTATTTTATTCTGGCCTCCTTTTATTTTGTTTGTGCGCGTGTGTTTTCATGCATGGATTTTTGAGTGATTCAAGGGTTACTAGTTTTTGTACAGTGTACGTCGTAATTAATCTAATTTGAACTTAAAAATTACCTGGAGGATGAAAAAGGCGGCCCAAGCAAGGGTGGCTAAGATAAGGAGAATCGAACCCTTAGCCCAATCTTTATCGGCGGCAGCAACGGAGGCGGAGGAGGTGTGGGCAGGATGGATATGAGAAGACCACACCATATTGACGACATGACCTTTGTACAATGTCATCAACATTGCACCCGCTACTGTGACTAAAGTTCCCACTACTTTTGCTTGGCACCTCAACTTTTTTATGTGCACCTTCTCCATCCTAATCAATCAGATTATTACATCATCAGTAACAACTTAATTGTTAACTTTATCTAAAATTAGAAATCTATAACTTATAATAGGGTCTATATAATTATCTTTTATAACTCCTTTAAAAAATTAAGCTTTCTGTTACTCGCTCTGTTCTTGTCTATTTTTTCTATTGGAATTATTATATGAGACAAAAACGTCAAAGTAAGAAAAAGAAAAACGAAGGGAGTAATTGATGATGGCGATCAATACCTGCATAGGACGGCCATGACAAATGTCAAGGCCGGAAGCATGTTGCTCATGGCGCATGCATAGGTAGGAGAAGTGTATTTCAATCCCAAGTAGTAGAAGTTTTGATCAATTAGTGGCCTATAATTGTAGATAAGATAAAGAAAAATTAGTTTATAACAAATCAAAATTCATGTTTATTATGCTAATATTCTGTTCAAGGATATAGTGAAGAAATTACCCAAGGAGCCCCAACACAAACATTTGTGCAAATATAAGCAATGTCATCTTTGGCCTTTTACCCCTGCATAAACATAAACACAAATATTTAAATTCTCATAATAATCTCGTTATAATTCAAAACTTCTTTCATTTTCATCTAAGTATCATTTTCATCGTATAGACTATTTATTTCTGTTTTGTTCAGATTTAGTTGTCACATTACTTACTGAGTCCAAGTAGTTACAGCTTATAGTAACGATATAATTTTGGATATTTATAGATATACAGATGATACTATAGTAGTAAAACTCTCTAATACCTCTCACAAACAAGAGCAAAAGGAGCAATGACAGCCGTAGCAAAGGCGTGGCGATACACGACAAGGACATAGTGGCTCATCCCACCATTAAGGGAAACCTTGGTGACAATGTTCATCCCAGCATAGCCAAATTGCAAGCAAATCATAGCTATGTATGGCTTGAGTTTCTCTAACAAACTGTTGTTTGGAATTCCTTTTCCTTCCATATTTCTTCTTCTTTTTCGAGTTTGAGTTTGCGTTCGTGTTCGAGTTCGAGTTTTGTAGGGAGAAATATGTATGTATATAGTGTAAGAGAAGTAAGGTTTGTATGGAAGAAAACACTTGAAGCTGGCTTGTGTTTTCCTACGAAAGAAGATAGCAAATGCCTTGGTATATATAGGCACTTTGCTTTTGGTATTATGGCACTATATTCTATTATTTTAATACTTTATAATAAAATTAATAATATTATTACATAATCAAATATAGTAAAACTTTTTTTTATTTTTTTTATTTTTTGAGGAAGGGGTATGTTGGAGAGCACGTAAGGATCCCTATGTCACCACTTGAATGGAAGAGAGGGGCCCATGAAGGACATGAGGGATCTAGTTGAATATTCTAGTTAATTTTTTATTTTTATTTTTGAAAGAATTTTTTTTTTTTTTTTGAAAGAAATGTTTTTAAAGTTAAAATTTTCATTCTTATAAATTTTAATGCTATTGTGTACAACATCACTACCACTAACCAATGTTTTTATGTTTGTTATGGGACTGGTGGCTACTTTCATATGATGAGGATAAAAATTTGACAGCAGATTTAAGTTTGCGTTTGATTTCAAAATTTTTTTCCTAAAGTTGTAGTTGTGTTTCTATATATAGTCATTATTACGGAATAAAAGATATTTTCTACTAACTGTTCTTCGATTAAGTTGTAGCTAGCTAGAGTTCGAGTAGATTAGATAAAAATAAATGACCTAATAGTTAATAAGGAAAATTTTATATTACAATAATGTTATGCTATATGTTTAAATTTTAGGAGTTGGGTAATTATGACGTGTAATTTTAAAGGAAAGGAGTAAAAAAAACAAAGGGTGCATCCAATATGTATATGATTATATGTACTTTGTAGAACAAATTCTTTGTTGACTTGACGTGTACATAGTACGGACTACGGAGTATATTTTTGGTGTGATGTTTTAACCAAAAAAAAAAAAACAAGTCTCTTAGTTAATATGTATTACTCTGTCTCTATTTTTTTTCGCCCTATTACTAAAAGTTGGGTTAAACTTTGAAAACTTTAACCATGAATTCTCGTTGTTCTACAATAGGCAATATAATTATGTGACATCTTGTTTGATTCATCTCATTATATATATATATATATATATATATATATATATATATATATATATATATATATATATATATATATATATATATATATATGCTCCCTCTATTCCTGAAAGTTCGACTCACGTTGCAATTGTGCGGTCTCCAATGAACATCTTTGACCATGAATAACTTCGGTTATATATAAGTGAAATTTGTAAAAGTTGATATTTGGATTATTTATAATAAGGGGAATCTAATATGATCTCACATGCTAATATATTTATATTGTATAGCTCATAAACTGTAGTCAAAGTTATTTTATTTTGATCATATGAATAGTAATTGAGTCGAACTTTCAGGAACGGAGGTAGTATATTTTATTAATATCAACTTTTTATATTTTTTACGTATATTAAATTGGATATATAAACGTTTTAATACGTGTCTTGGAGACAGTGAAAAGTCAAATTGGACCAAAAAATAGGGACATAGAGAGTACAGTGTAATGGTAGTGTGAGTATTGTGCAGTAAAAATAACTTTAATTAAACATTATTTCTTACCGGCGTTGCTAACTTGCTACTTTAATTTTAATATACGTATTTAAGAAAGAGTATAATAAGTACGGAGTAGCCCCTTTATCCTTCATTGTTTGCTATATTTATTTGATTTGATCCAAATGACTCTCAAAAAAGTATTTGATTTGATCCAAATTACTCTAAAAAAAAAGTAGGTCCATATTGCAAATAATAGGCGAATCGGAATGAGGGAACCATAGTCCATAAACAATATAACATAGGTCCATTTTTTTTTTTATTTTTTTTTTTTTTGGGGGGGGGGGGGGAGGGGGGAACAAGCAGCTTAGCTAGTGCAGATAAAAATTTATGGTATAAGCCTAGCACCTCTAGCATCTTATGAAGGGGATACCAAAAGGAGTGTGGGCAAAACTAAGATAAGGACATTAGAAATGTTATAAATGCTTTATTAGTGAGTAGCACAGACGTTGTCCAGAGTGCTACTTAATTAGTGTAGATTATTAAATTAAGGTGTATTTTATGAATAATGAGAACAATTTATATCCATCCTCATTATAGAGGTTGATGCTTTAAAAACCGGTCTTAGGTTGGACCATTATTTTAAAAAAAAAATAAAAAAAATTCTAAAATATTTGATTTTAAGCTTAAAATGTTAGGAACATCTATATATTATGAGTTATATTATACTAGGTTTTAAAAAAAGACGTTAAATAATAATTTTTCATTTTAGTTTTTCCACATTATTATAAAAACATTTTAAATTATTACAAAATATTTAAAATACAGAAAAATTTCTAGAATTAGTCAAAATCGGTCCAATGTTGGTTTTGGATCGGTTTTATTGAATTGGTCCAATCCTAACATAACTGATTCGGTCTCTGATTTTAAATCTAATTTTTTTTTTTTATCTTCAGTCGGGTTTGATTTTATACCAAGAAATAGCTCTGAAATCATTATAATTTTTTAGAGTGGTCCCTTCACTAATGAACCAATCCTTTTTTTTTTATTATAATTTTGTGATAAATTTTCCTTACAATCAAAGTGTTATAGCTTAAATTTCATCTCTACTGAAAACAATATTGAAATCACAAGGTCTTTTTTTTTTAATTTTTTATTTTAAACATTTAAATATTTTGTTAAATTCGTCTTAATTCCACTTATTTAAAGTAAATTAAACATATTAAAATTTGGAATTTTTTTAGAAATTATGCTCTAGAGATTAGAGGCCATCCTAAAATTTTGACATACAAGATTTTCAGCATATTATCACAATTAATTAATTATAAACCTAGCTACAAGTTATGTTTTTGTGTGTCGTATATATTGACTTTACATGATCAAATATAGAATTTCTTCTCTGAAATTGAAGTATAAAGATATGGCTTACACGTGTCGGCATATTACAGCTTTTGAGAGCTTCAGCCAAACAGTAAGAGTATTGGTGCTTGCTGATAGGAGTAGGCCTACACAATTGAGGACGTTGAGATGGCCTATTGGGCTAATATGGGCCCTCAAATGGTTTCCCATATGCGACAATTCTGTCTTATGTTTTTCATTTTAATTTTGGATCAAAGAACATAATATTCTTCTAATAAGGTTTAATTAAGAGCATGTATGACATGCACCCCAAATTTCCTATGTGATGGTTTGTGGCCAAAAACATTACATTATTTTAACGGCCCCAGGTAAAGATTCACTCGCATAGGCTTTCCTAGCCTCGTGATACTTAAAACTCATAGTTCATATGTCTTTTTTTATTTGTTCCAATTTTCTTTTTAACCCGTCTTTTAAAGATTATTCCATACTATTAATGTATATATGGACTAATATTTTACTCTCACAAAATTACTTTGGGTCCCACACTTTTCTCTCTCATCAATTCTACTCAACCAAAACTTAATAGAGTGAAATAGTTTTATAAGGCAAATAATTCGGGACGGAGAAAGTAGTACTTATGGTCTAGTATAAATTCATGGTTGAAGGAGCATCTGATCACATACATTTTAAGCTTAACATGGATTTTCTATTGAGAAAAAGGTGAAGTAGCTCACGTATTTTATATGTTAGTCAATCGTACACATCAGTGTTAGATTAATTGGTTTGTTACAAGGATGAAGATGAAAAGTCCTACATACTGGACACCGCCCTTCCAAAATACTTCCTCCGTTTTTTTATAGTTGCAACAATTTGACTTTTACACTATTCATGTGTTTCACTTTGACTAACTTTGATGATTTATAGCTATGCATAAATATAGTCATGTGAGATCTTGTTAGATTCGTCTCGATTTATACTATTTAAATATCAAATGTTTATAATTTTTACATATTGGTAATTAAAGATATTAATAATTGAAATCATGCATCGGCAAGCGTGAAAAGAGAAGTGTTGCAACTATAAAAAAAAACCGAGAAAGTATGATTCTAGCTCATATAGTCATTATTATTATTATTATTATTATTATTATTATTATTATTATTATTATTATTATTATTATTATTATTATTCTCACTTTAACATTTCTTGTCTCGTAAAAACATTTCAAAAGATCATAAATAAAAAAAAAAAAACAGTACTAGTAATCTACTAAATTGTTCTAAAAACAAATAATAATTAATCTACTAAATATATTACTCCGTATTTGCTTAATGCTTGTACTTTAAGTGCACAGTGCTTCTCCTTATCCCAATGAAAAAAAAGGCAAAACGCATTTCTATACGTCATCTGATTTGCAACAATGACTATGATATCCATATCTATTAAGGTTTAGAGAATATATTTCATTATAATAAATTACTCCAGTTTATCTTTCCTTGAAATAAATAGAATAAATATATATTTAATATAGTGCATAGAATTTTGATTTGTTGATGGAATGACGTGAAATTTCTTTACAAATAAAAGAACACAAAATCTTATATGTGGGTGGTCATCACACAGGAGTTACTTCATTATTGTTATAGGGGTTACTCGGTCAGTGTTATAGGGTTTACTTCGTCAGTAATATAGGGGTTACTCTGTCAGTGTTACATGAGTTACTTCGTCATTAATATAGGAGTTACTCATTTAATGTTATATAGAGGATACTTGATCAGTGTTATAGGGTTACTTTGTGTTTAGACAAGCGACCTCATCAACCACACAGGAGACCGGCCAATAAAAGAATCTTAGTTATCTATTCCAAAAAATTATAGTGGAGGAATTTGGGTTACGCATGCATCAAAAAACAATCTTGCTCCCCCACATAAATAGCATATCTTTGTGAAAGAATATAAGAAGTTGCCATGTACTTATTTATAAGCTAATGTTTTCATAAATAGTTGACATACTTATTATATAACATCAAGATTTTAGATTAGATGTACATATATAAATCAACGTGACATATCCCACGGCATCTAATCCACTTTTAAATTGGAACTTAACATGATATGATGATGCATGCAATATTGCAATTTCACCAAAACTAATTATTCTTTTGGAATAAATTGGAAGAGAGGTTTTTCAATCTTA